AAGACCATGGCCTTTATCAGGCGCACCTTAGTCTCCAGAGAGACACCGTTGCTCTTGAGTACTTTAGAGAGGTCCCTAACAGCAGACTTTCCCATCTCAGTACATTTTTTTTTATTTCCTGGCTGCTGGTGCCAAGAGTGTTGACCGTGGAACCGAGCAAACTGAAGCTGTGAACACTCTCAATCTCTTCGCCATCCATCCTGATGCTACCTATTGGTCCAGTGGTGAGAATATTTGTCTTCTTGACATTGAGCCTCAGTCCATATTGAAGGCTGCAGTCCTTGACCCTCTACAGCAAGTGCATAAGTCCACCTCAGTGTCGGCAAGCGGGGTTGTGTCATCTGCATAACGCAGATTGTTAATAGATCTTCCACCAATCCTAACGCCACACTTCTCCTCATAGAGGCAGCCTCTGGGATAATCTGTTCTGCATACAGGTTGAAAAGGTATGGAGATAGGACACATCCCTGGTGTACACCCTTCCCAATTTTGAACCATACAGTGTTAGCAGACATTAATCTCCCAAGTGGATACATAGACTGATAGACGAGATGAACAGGTATGTGGAGGCAAACGAGACTACACCTATGACTATTTGAATGGCAGATGATATTTCTCTGTACATATCTGTATGTGGTGGTGGTGATTATGTGCTGTTGAATTGACTAGGACTCATAGCTACTGAGATGAGTGGATCTGAGACCTACCCTATCCTGATCCATCCTCATCATCTCTGATACACTTGAACCCATCGTTACAGTCACTGTGCCATTCTGTCTTATTGAAGGTCTTTCTTTCTTCGCTGAACCTCTCCATCTTGCCAGCCATGATGTCATCTTCCAAGCATGGCCTTTCCTAACAACATGTCCAAAGTATGTGAGACCATCCTTGCCTCCAAGGAGCACTCTGGTTGCATTTTCTCCAAAAGCAGTGTTCTTTTGGAAGTCCTTGGGATATTCAGTACTCTTTTCCAGCACCACAATTCAAAGGTGTCAGTTCTTCTTCTGTCATCCTTTGTCATTGTCCAGCTCTCTGATGCACAGCAAGTTACTTGAAAAGATCATGTCTTGGATCAGGTGCACCTTATCTTTAAACTGACTCCCTTGCTGGTCTTTTGATTTGCCAAGAATGTTGATTGAGGCTCCATGCACTATTAAATAGTTGACAATTTTAATCTTTTCTCTATCTATCATGATGTTAGGCTTCACTGGGAGAATCTGCTGTCTAAGACCTTTCCAAAATGCTGAAGAGCAAGAGGGGAAGACCCTCTATGAGATGGATTGATTCAGTGACTGGGGTAATCGGGATGGGTGTGTCAGAGGCAGTGCGATTGGCACAGGATAGAGCAGGGTTTAGGGCTGTTGTACATCGGGTCGCTATGAGTCGACGGCACATAACAATAACAATGACAATCATGATGTTGCTTATTGGTCCAGAGGTGGGGATTTTTGTCTTCTCAATGTTGAGATTCAAGCAAGTTGTTGCTTAGTTGTTGATGAGTCTGCTTCCAATCCCGATACCATCACATTCTTCTTCATAAAGTCCAACTTCTTGAATGATTTACTCAGTAGACATATTGGGTAGGTATAGAGAAAGAATATAGTCCTTATGAACACCTTTCTTGATTTGAAACCATGCAGTGTTCCCTTGTTCTATTTAGACAACAGCTTGGTCCAGGTCTAGGTTTCACATGAGCACAATCAAGTGTTCTGAAATTCCTGTTCTTCTCATGATGTGTTGTCATCCACACAGTCAAATGCCTTTGCATATCAATAAAACATAGTGTATATAGGAGAAAACAGGGAAGAAATTATGAAAATTTCTTAGAGCCAGACACCTTGAGAGGATGAATCGTCTTATCCCAAGAAAGTCAAGGTCAGCTAGCATAATTTAGTCTCACAAGACTCCCCACTTTAGGGAGTAGCAACTGGGGTCAAAAGCTTGCAAGTGGCCATCTAAAGTACAACTATTAGTCTTTAAGTTCAGAGTAAAGAGGAGGGAAGACTCTTAGCTCAAAGGGAGCTCTGGTAGCCTAATAAGTAAGGAGTTACACTGCCAACATTAAGGTAGGCAGGTCAAATCCACGAGCTGCTCCTTGGGAGAAAGATGAGCATCCTCTTCCTGTGTGATTTATACTTTCTGAAAACCTGCTGGAGAGTAAACAGTGAGTCAGTTCCAGCTCAATAAAGATGCATTTGGATTGAGTTTGAGTCCAAACGACTAATATTAGGAACAATTTGAATGACCTTCAGACCAGAAAAATTAGGTAGTGTCCAGGTAACTACTGTTGGCTGCTTTTAAAAGGATCACAGTAGAAAATCCGTAATAAAGTGGGAAGAAACATGCAGAACAAAGCTCACAGTCATTTAAAAAAAACACCAGCCGCATTAAAAACCAGGCTGACTGATCTGACTGACCTGCCAGAGGTGGGTGGGACTCCCCAAGAATGGCACTCATCAGGCCTGAAGCAAAATGGGGGGACAGGCCTAGAAGGTGGGTACCACCACCAAGGGAGATAATAACTCCTTAGAAGTATCAAACATACAAGGTCAAAGGACAGGGAGATGATGGAGAAGAGATTGAGGTTGATAACAGCTTCAATTTGCTTGGTTCCACAATCAACACTCTTGGCATCAGCAGTCGGGAAATGAAAAGATGAACTCTACTGAAAATATGCTGTCAGGGACCTATCCAGAGTGCTAAAGAGCAGTGATGTCTACCTAAAGACTCAGGTGTGCCTGATCCAAGCCATGGTCTTCACAATTACTTGTTATGCATCAGAAAGCTATACAGTGACTAAGGATGATAGAAGGCGAATCTATGCCTTTAAGCTGTGGTGCTGGGAAAGAGTATTGAACATTCCATGGACTGCTGAGAGAAAACAAACAAATCTGCACTGGAGTGAGTAAAAGCAGGATGTCTTTGGAGGCAAGGATTCTGAAGCTCCATCTCATATACTTTGAGCATGTTGCCAATAGAGACCTATCCTTGGTAAAGGACATCATGCTTGGAAGGGTGGAAAGTTAGTGCAGGAGAGGAAGACCCTGGATGAGATGGATTGATACAGTGACTGGGATTATGGGTATAGGTATGTCAGAGACAGTGAGATTGGCTCAGGATAGGACACAGTTCAGAGCTGTTGTACATGAAGTCATGAGTTGTAGGTGACTAGGCAGCACATAAGAACAACAGCAAAGCTTAGAAGGAGGAAGAGGATAGGAAAGAAAGACAAATGGAAATGGAAAACACAGAGAAGAAGTGGGAAGGGTGTTGCTTCAGTGTTAGGGTTGTAATCAGTGTCATAGAACAAACAGTATGAACTGTTAAATGGAAAACTAGTTTGCTCTGTAAATTTTCACTCAAATCACAATAAAAAGTTAAAACTAAACAAATCACCTCTTCAGAAAGGCCTGCTCTGAGTTCCCTCTCTAAAATACTGCCCTTTCTCATATTCTTACCATCCTTCATGTTGCTTCATGACTCATGCTGTTTTACATCATCTGGCATATTTATTCACTAATCCCCATCCTCTCTGAAAAGTAAGTTTCAGAATCAATCATCTTGTTCACTGCCGCATCTTCAGTGCCTAAGAAAGTGTCCCTCATGGATATTTGATAAATGAATGCTTTAAAAGTTTTTACTCTGTTGAAACTAAACACTGAAATTGCTTTTTAAAAATTATTCTAGGAGTAACCAGCTTTAAAAATATATATGAGGGGGAAATCTTAAATTAAAGCTTCTTTTCCTTTTAGAAAAATGTTGACCCTGATGAGATGGTGGGGAAACTGTCTCTCCGCAAACAGCGCTTCCTCCAATTTTCTTCACTGGAGTACGAGGGGGAATGCTACATGACGCCCAGGGACTTCCTCTTCTCTGTGATGTTTGAGCAGATGGAGCGTAAGTTGTTTTCCTGCTTGTTATTTAAGTTATTTAAAGAACCACTGTTGTTACTTTTGTTGTGTACCATGGAATCTGAACCAACTCATATCTGACCTTCCAGTGGGTTTTCAGAGGCAGTAAATCACTTGGGAGGGGATTTGCCATTTTCTCCCATGGGGCAGCTGGTGGATTCGGGTTGGCAGTGCAGCTCCTTGCCTCTAAGACACCAGAGCTCCCCAAAGAAGCATTAGGTTTTTAAAAAACTATTGGTACACCACAACAAGATAAAAGTAAATAATCCAATCTAAAAAGGTGCACAGGATATGAACAGACACTTCACCAAAGAAGACATTCAGATGGCCAGCAAGCACATGAAGAAATGTTCAAAATCCCTAGCTCTAAGAGAGATGCAAATTAAAACAACCATGAGATATCATCTCACCCCAGTCA